CACCGAACAACTTTGGATACACCCTGTAAGTATTTTATCACCTGTTGAGCACCCTGCAAACTCCTACCAAGTTTGTAAAAGCGACTGGTCACCATCTGGAAAGCGGTTGTGAAAAAGCGAAGGGGACCCGAGCGCACAGTGTCGCATACCCCCTCACTTTCTCGTTTATTCCTTTACCAGTCGCCCTGCCGGCGCGGCTTCGCCGCGCGTACTTTCTTTCACATATTTCTAGACTCAACTGATATCCGCCTTTTGTTCTGTACTCCACTTTTTCCGGTGAAGTACTCTTGAGCTATTTTACAGATTCTTCGTCTGACTCCGCCCACCTCGGAGCAGGCCCCGCCCACAATTTTGTGCCCCACAATCCTCACCGACCCTCTGCTGACCTTAATCCACGTTTTTGTCCGGTCTATGAAGTGCCGTATGCCGTCACTACGTATCAAAACCGTTTCGCGCAACCGCCAGACTCTTCGCCCAACCGCCAATCGATACGTATCGAAAGCTTTTCGCCGGAGCGTTTCTTTCTAGAAAAACGCTGGGCCGCAGACTGTGAACAATGCGTAATGATGGAGCGATTTATCGATTGATTTATCAAATGGGCCGTAGTAACATTGCTTGTTTTACGTGACTATGACATTCATGGTTATTGGGAATGTGAATTACTTTCTCTCAATTATTTTCACTTTAGCGGATATTCTGGGGAATGTCCAAGTGCTCCAGCAATCCCAAATGGTTCGCCGTGCATTGAAGAAGGTGAATGCCAGGATGGTGTTTGCCTCCCCTATTGTGAGCGCCAAAGCATCGCTAAGAAAAGCTGCATATGTGAAGAAGGTACACTCAATTTCAGTGAATTTTTTATGTATAAGCAGGCTGTGAAAAGGGAGCCACCCAGAGACGATGAGGGAATATTTCAATGATTTCGATACGGTCAAAAAAATTAACAAATTTCCTAATATTTCGTTGTACCAGGTTCTATCTTCTCGCTGTATTCTGTCTTCCTTACTTTTGAGAGTTTGATGTTGCATTTTCGGAGTCCTGTTGATCATCTCTGACAACCACTTGTGTTTCAGTCTTAAACTGCCAGCCTTCGTGTTTTTTGTCTCCGTAAGATTTCTATTTTATAATCGTCATTTTAACTCTTCTAGTCCATCTTTCGTGTCGTCGATGTTGCCGAGATGTTAATGGTACAGGTCTATGTGAACCTGAACTAGGGGCGGCGGATCTCGTTGATGGAACTTGGTGCGCCCAAGGTTACTGTCGGAAAGTTAGTTTTTATGGAAACTTACAATGTGTAGATTCGTCTAGTAGATGCTCCTATTTTAGTCAAAATGTGTCAACGAAGCTGCAGACTATGTTACCAGACATTTGAATGTGCTCAGCGACCGAAGTCGTATATGTGAGTCTCTTTTTCCTTTTGGTTTATGTTCAGCAAACTAGTGGAACTACTTTATTTCAGGGCCAATTATCCAGTCAAATATCGTCGCCATCATAGTGCTTTTATCAATTGCAATATATATTCCAATTGGATGCTGCATCAGGAGAGCTGTAAGTACTTTTTATTCATTTGCTCTAATTCTTGAGATGTAACTGATCATTTGTGCCCCTTTTCCATGACTTTTGAATTCTATCTCTCTGTCGCCTTTCCTTCTTTCTTCCACGGCGCATTTTTCAGCATTTTTTCTCGCTCTGTCGTGGTCTCCCGATATCTCAAAATTTTGCCTTTTGTCCATTTTCGGCCCTCACACTTTATGTGTCTCGCTGCTTTTTTATCGTTCTTCTTTTTGTATCATCTGTCTCGCTTGGCCTCTCTGGTATTCTTGCTTTTTCTTCTTTT